ATTGTAAGATCTCAGCGTCCGATGAGTCTAGATGCTCAACCCAACCGACCTTATTGATTTTTTGACGGTTTTGTTTTAGTTTCCATCGCTAAAACATTATTTAAACTGACGAAATCCCTTCGAAAGTCGAAACGCCTAACATGTTTTTTTTCCATTTTTCCGTTCAGCTATATATATATATATATATATATATATATATAATTAATTATTTAAAAATATGATTTCAACGCTACAAAAGAGTTCTCATGTTTCAAAACAAGAGACGAAAACTTCAATATAATTATTTGAATTAAATTGAATTAAAGTACCAAGCTCTGTTCCATCTTCAAGCGAAATTTTTTTTGAATCTTGAAGATGGAACAGAGCTTAGTCCATTTATTCTGTTTCACAATTATAATCTAAGCTCTACTTCTGTATGGAGCACTGTTTTTTAAAAATAAAAACAAAAATACTAAAGAACCCCGGATTATTTACCTAACGTGTTCTTTCCTATTTTTCTAGATATTTGCACACACACACACACACACACACACACACACACACACACACCCATATGTATATATATGTGGGGTGCGTGGGGGTGACGAGTAAGCTAATTTTATTGGATTTATTAGAATTGGAGAATCCTACACGATATCTGAAGTCAGTAATACAAAACATGTTTAAAGCTGAGCGAATTTAACGATTTGATATAAATCAAATACATATTGTGCTGTTTTGTTAAAGTAGAATTGAAACAAACATTTCAATTCTATTTCATTCTATGTCAGAAGAAAAAAAAATAGATTAATATCAGAGATGGGATGGAATTCTATTGACACAACAAACTTAAAAATGGTCCATTTATTCTGTTTCACAATTGCGTTCGTTAAATCCATCTTCTCGTTAATCGTTTCAGACAGAATTATTCAATAACGATTAATGATGATGATCAATGCTATTTAATCGAATAACTTTTCCAATAAAACTAATAAAAAAAAAACAACATCTCAATCCATTCATCTATAATGTATATTTCCGGGTAATGAAAGAAAAAAATTACATTTTTTTCGTTCAGAAGCAAAAGCTCCATTTCTATAGAACGGAAAATTTAATTCCTTAAAAATCAATTTCAAATACAGTAAAAACATAAAAAATGGTAATACCTTTGACCTATTTTTTGCCAAATATTTCCAGGAAAACTTTAGTTTAAAAAATGGTCTTATTTTAGAGTGGGTTTATGCGGAAATGATTCTCGTAGGGTAATTGGACGAAGAAAAATCACTGTATTTGTCATTTGTATAGAGCTTCTGAATTGACTAAATTTTCTCAGATTTTCACCGGAAATTTGTTTCTCGCCTTCTGGTGTCGTCATTTTGGTTCCTAAGACAACTTTAATACGACATATATAATTTTAACAGAATAGAATATAAATGTAACAGAACAGAATATAAAATTAACAGAATAGAATATAATTTTAACAGAATAGAATATAAATGTAACAGAACAGAATATAAAATTAAAAAAATAGAATATAATTTTAACAGAATAGAATATAAATGTAACAGAACAGAATATAAAATTAAAAAAAATAGAATATAATTTTAACAGAATAGAATAAAATAATAGAATAGAAAGCAGTCCAGGGCTTTTCATAAAATCCTGCTGCAGTACTCTCCCAAGTATATATTTTGAAACCCGGCATTTCTGTAACAGACTTAAATCTGAAAGATTGTCATTCATGAAAGTCAGCTAGCAGCGTAGTCTAACATTTTTACATCCAACTGGTTCACTTATGTTAGAAGAGTTAGATGTAATGATAGAAAACAGAAGATTATTAAATTGTATGGTCGTGGAAAACCACAGTTGACTTTAATAAAAGTCTACTTCAACATTGAAAGAACGTCGTCAAAAAGATGATATCAGTTGTAATGTCGTCCAACGTTCTACTTTCAATTTAATTTTCTATTTCTCGAAAAGGACCTCCGATCTGTGGTTAATTGGGACAGGAAATGGCTTTTAATGCCTCCAAAACGAAACTGTTCTCCTTTACCCACCACAGAGAACCCTCCCTACCTTCCGTCAGAATGGCTGATGCCCAGCTCCTCGAGAGCGCCTCATTACGCCTGCTTGGTCTCATGCTGTCCAATGACACGAGGTGGAATAAATACATTGAATCAATAGCTTCATCTACCGCAAGGAAAGTTGGTTGTCTGTATATATATATATAGTCTGACGCTCCAGCTGTACGTCTCGAGGTCCTCGATAAACTCCAGAGACAAATATGCAATATGATAGTTCCTGATCTGGCATCTATACAATCGCTATCTCACAGACGTGCCGTGCCTTTTCTATATCTCTTCTGCAAGTATTTTCACTGCAACTGTTGCCGTGAGCTACTTTCGCTGGTTTCCGGACTGGATGAATTTAAGCAAGCTACCAGGCTGGCAACTCAGTTCAAACTTTTTACTGTCAAAACGGTTAAATGTAACTGTCACTTCTACTCAAACAGTTTCTTCTCTCGCACTTTCCGACAGTGGAACTCCCTTCCCCTTTTTTGCTTTCCCGTTGACTATAATCTTCAAGGTGTAATATCAATCGACATCTGACACCCTGAGCTTGTTCCCCGCCCTTCTGTGGATCCTTTCCCCAAACATGCCTCTTTATTCTTGTTCTCAATCCTCTGTAGCCCCTTGTGTGCTATGGAACTCCCGCCTTGCTTGGGGTGAATTGCTTTAAAAAAAATCCAAGACATTTAGTTTACGATCAAATTTCTCTGAAAAGATCGGTTGTAGTTCGATCGTTGAAGTTAAGCAGCGCCAAGCCTTGTCAGTGCTTACATTAGATGCCACTTGGGAGCAGCAGGTATTCTGTAAGAAGTAGGGGTGTTTATCCGTCAAAAATTACACTCGTGGAATGTCAGGAAGTGGTAAAAGAATGATGGTGTGGACAACGATAGAAAGTTTTTTTTTCTGATCATATCTTACAATTGACAGGGAGAGGAAAGACACTGTCAACAGCAAGAAGATACCGTCTCTAATAAAAAATATGTCACTAACATTTAGTAGGAGCTGTGACCGCTGTTATGACTTGTTAAAACAAGTCATAACTTAAATGCAAGTGAAAAAAACATCATGAATAGTGCATTCAATTTATAATATTTGCATTGTTCGGACTGTTGCCCTCATCTTTATTGTCATATTCACGACGTTTCGGTCATTGTACGCTCCAGATTCTTCAGGTGATATACGTTGGAATTTCGAACCGAACCCTTTATTTAGTCCACTTGGATATATTGTTCTAGTTCCACGTGCCATACCTTTTATAGATATCTCAGTTTCAGTTATTTCCCTTTAGTAACTCGTTTCCAATTTTTTTTTTACCTATGCCGTGGCCAGATATTGAACTAGCATCTGTTTTCTAGACGTTGAGTTAAAAGAAAATATATGAGACAGCCGTAAGAGGCATGGCACATGGAACTAGAAAAATCTACACCGGTGGACAAATTAAAGGGCTCGGTTCGAAATTGCAATCACCTGAAGAAGGCCGGAGCGTACAACGGCCGAAACGTTGTGAATATGGCAATGAAGATGTGGATAACAGCCCGAGTAATGGAAGTAATGTAAATATCAGTTTTGTCTCCCTGGTTTTAAGTGACAGGAAGTATTTTTAAATAATTTCATTCCATGCAAGACAATAAAACAAGGGGTTACAGACTGTGAACGACTATGAGGGAAAAGAAAAACCACTCATTTAAAGATATTACCACTGTAAAAGGCCAGAGATTCTAGCTAGCAACGTTTCAAGTTCTTGGTTATCCTATGCAAACAATTTGAAATTGCAAGTGGATTTCAACTCTAAGAACATTAGAACCATTTAATCTGGTGGAATCATTATGAATTCTGGCGAAATGACTTAATAGCAAAAGTAATTAGTGCAATAGAAACTATTAGCAATAAGGACAAGAACGAAGCAAAACAAATTTGTCTCGCTAATCTGAATATTGTATGAGGTCATCATAAAATGGTTAATTTAAACTTTTTGTTATGTTTAACAATGTCAGTACTTGTCATTTTATTATTCTGTAGTTCTTTGGAATGCATTTATCTTTCAATGTTGAATCTACGTAAATACACAAAAAAGAATTATACATCCTTTTATTGCGAGAGAATAAGATTAGCCAAACAATTTCTGCCTGAAGTACAACAACAAAAATGAGATCAATAAGCTAAATAACTTTTCAAATAATAATGACATTTGAAAATTACAGAATATGTCTTTAGCCACAATTCCAATTCAACGGACTGAAACATAAATTAAGCGTGGGAAATGGAACCACCTCCATTGTATCTTTAGTTTCAAAGGTTTTTTAAAAGAGAAGTCTGTTAAATATTATGATTCTCATTTTTAACTATAATTTTATATGCATTTCATATTTTATAAATAAATTTTATTTAAAATTAATATTGATTTTTTAAGCTTAAGTAAGATCATCAGTAATACAATTTGTAAACATGTCTCTTCTTGAAATTAGTTTTACTGTAAATAACGTTAAACGAAACGTACTCAACTGGTATTAATCTATCCATAATTGTTGCGGTAGCAATAAGGAAACTAGTCGTAAATATTATCCTTTTATCTAAATTATTACAATTTTTTTATTTATTCCTTTCTTTTTGTCATTACAGAAGAATTATTGAAATATCGCGTTTGGAACATTTAAATGAATTAACGATCATCTGGTTGAAGAAAAGCCATTTAAAGTATTTATTTTTGATTGATTCGTTTTCTACGGCTTATCAACCGTTTGCAGGTTATTTAAAGCCAGAAAATATTTGCAGATTGTAAGGATGTTTTCTTTTTTGAAGTTTAAGTAACCCATTGCTGTGGGGAAGTTGGATTCATACTTTTACCAAGGATATTTTCGCGTAAGTGAATATAACGAACCCAAATGGAATTGGAACTCGGCTCTACGATTAACATTTCCGAGCAATTATCCATTACACCACTCGCACATTCAGCTTACAGCATCTGATATTCCCAAGCGGTCACCTATCTAAATACTGACCAGATTCGACGTTGCTTAACTTCGGTGATCGTACGGGAATTACAATATACAACTTATTGCCTTAATTTGATGTTTTAAAATAACTACGTCAGAAGTTTATAGAGAATTTTTCTCCCTGATGTTTAACTGTCAGCAGAGACGATGACTGATTTGATATTTTACGGCTTATCAACCCATTATAGGTTATTTAAAGCCGAAGCATATTTTTGGATTGTAAGAATAATTCCTTTGTTCGCAAGTGAATATTGCATGAATAATTTTTATGAGAATAACAATGATTTTCCCAGGTATAATTCCTACTATATAACTGTGCAGAGGTGAATTCATGTCTTTTTGAGGAGTATTTGCGCCTAAGTAAAAGCAAAGAAACCCGACTGAAATTCGAACTTCTCTCTCTGATTTCGCATTCCGAGCCACTATTCATTACACCACCTGCACATACTAAATCTACGATTCGTTTCTTCTCTAATTTAATTCCTTATAAGTTGCTATATGAGAACCCACTATAGAGGGATGAAACACGGTGTTACCAGTTGGTGTTTGATTACAGTTTACGTTACTAAGTATTTTCGTAAATATTGAGCTTCACACTTGTTGATTGGTACATTATAAATTGTTATAGTTACTGGTATATTAGTATAGAATATTGGACAAATAAATTTTTATTGATTTTCTGTATATGGCATTTGATACATTTCTAAAATATTGGTTTATAATTTTTTCAGTTTTGTAACTGAGTAAAATTATTCTAACTTCTAAGATGAAACATTGTCAATTATTATTTTTTTTAACTAGTATTTCTTTCATCTAATATCTATTGTTTTATTGATACAAGTTCGTAACGTACATTCTTTGAGATAAATCGCCAGTGATGTTTTCCTGGCTTAAACGATTCCCTGTTTGTGTTGATCTCTGATCTCGATGGTCTTGCGTTACGCATTCTTCGGACATTTTTTAGCGTCTTTTCTGCTATCAGCCAATGAGAGTATTATAGTAGGGATATTATTCGAACTTCTAACATGAATTATTTTCAGTTATTAATTTTTGAGTATTTCTTTCATCTTAATTTCATTTTCTTTTCTATCGAAAATTCCAGATCGTCATTCTCCGATCGTTAGTAAGCAAAATAAAGAATAATCTTTCAAATCTGGTGCTTCATGGTGTCGGTAGAAGACTAATATAAAATCAAATACAAATCAAAACAAAAAGAATATTTTCTTATTGATGAACATAATTATTTCTTATTACAATAAACTTCATTTTAGTGGGTATATATGTTTGAACAGGAACCCTCGTTTGTTTTTTCAAACTAAAATTAACATTTACCGGCCTAGAGCATCGAAAATTTTAAGAAGTCATTTTTATGTAAAGACATTCCTGGCCAAAGTAGCAAATTGTGTCTGGGTTTTTCTCGGATAAAGAGAATGAAAAATTCTGCCACGAGGTTTATTTTCTTTAATAAAACTTTTGATGTTGTAGGCTGGTAGACGTTAGTCCACTGTTTGAAAAAGACAGTGATGTCTACCCAAATACACGAGGAAATAATGTCGGATTAAAAAATCCGTTAATTACTTAGAGTATAATTATGCAAAGCAGAAGAAATTAAATCAAATTATTTATTATTTTCTCTGTTATTTTATGATATATCTATTTTATGATTGAAGAACCGAATATTTTTAAATAGTCACCTATTCAATAATAACCAAGTGAAAATTTGCTTAATTTTGTTGGAAAGCCGATTGCTTTGTCAATGATATTCTATTTCGAGAGCTCAGAAAATATATATAGGGTGCGATGTGTAAATTGTCGCCATTTCACATTTTTAATTTCGGGCATGCGCGTCGTTTATTTTTTTATTTTGGCGACTACACAATATCAGTGGGGTCAGTTGGGCACCGTCTGTGAGAAAAAAGAGTACCATGACGCAAATCACTCCGCCAGAAATTTGGAAACGGCATGCTGTACTACTTGACATTCGCGCCAGGTGTTCCACACAAACATTTCAGAGTGTTTGGGTGTCAATCACTGTGCAGAAGATTCAGAGAGAGTTGGATGAGTAATGATAATTACGAAGTTACAGCCCCTAGGAAAACTCACTTTGATCGTTTTGATAAGAAATGAACTCCCGAATTTGTTAGTGGGAGCCTCAGACTCAACAGGGAGGCTCACATAAAGTGCCTATAACGCCCTTGATTATCACGTGTGGGACGCAATTAAGCGAGATAACAACAAAACTCCTTGTATCACCAAAGATGAACTGAAGAAAAGGATTACGGTAGCATTCACCAACTTAAACAAGTAGACCCAGAAGAGTTGCAGGAGACCGTCTGTAGGCCGCGGTTGACGCTAATGGTGATTTTATTGAATAAATTTACTCTTTAGTATTTCAAGATATTTTTGCGTAATTTTGGTGAATATATCTGTTAAACTATTTAATATTTTTGTAATATCTGTTAAAATGAGATGTCAGTATTATTTTCATTTTTCATTATTATTATCATGGCGTTCCTTCGGAGGGTTGGCGAAATTGCATCTCGATTAAGAGACGAGCCACACGAAATGGAGTCGTACTTGCAGTGTGTTTCACTGGCGATGGTGCGAGGTAATGATTTCTCCATCATTGCGGCTGGCAGAGGATAGCAGAAAAAATGTTTTTGTTTACGGATACTTTATTCAAATAAAAACTATATTTAAATATGTGTGAGAAACTTACCAGAACGCTAAAGTGTGTAAAAGTGAGACATTTTTCATTTTTGCGTAATTAACTAATTTCTCCAACGCACCCTGTATCCGTGATTATATCTGTATTACTTCACCATAAAAAAGATTTGATCATGGTTATTTCTTTCTTAATTTTCCATATTGTTGAACTTCTGAGTAGTTATAAGTCAGAATTTTTTAAAGTCTTTACCAAAACTCTGAGTTGAGTAACGGTATCTACTCAATCAATGCATATCGAATGTTTCTTGTATGAAAACGGTTGATATCACCATTAACATTAACACTGTAATGCATATTTGGAATAAAAATGCGCCTCTGTGTATATTTCTGAAATGAGGTATTGTAATTATTTACATTATTTACACTGTTCGGACTATTGTCCTCATCTTTATTGTCATATTCATGACGTTTCGGACATTGTACGCTCTGGCCTTCTTCAGGTGATATACCTTGGAATTTTGAACCGATCTCTTTATTTACTCCACGGGGGTAGGTTGTCTTTTTTTTGCCGTGTCTTTTTTGGTGTATCTCAGTTTACTGTTAATTCTCTTTAGTAACTCAATTCTCTAAGTGACTTGACCCAAAGAGGTAAAAAAAAAAAAAAAATTGAAGAATTGAGTTACTTTGGTCTGTTCTACTCCACCCACCATATTCACTTGACTCTGCGCCAATTAATTATTATCTTTTTTTGATCGCTGAAAAAACACTTTCTCTAATGAAAAACATATTCAAGAGTTTTTTTTTTTTTTACATCAGAACCTGGAGAATTTTACTTAAAAGGTATGAAAGAGCTGCTTGATAAGCTGCAAGGGGTAAATGAAATTAACAGTGAATATATAATAGAATAAAATGAATTTGTTTTTTATTTTTTGAGGAATAAAGTTGATAAACAAAAATGCAATTTATTTATGACTCAGCATAATAAATTCTTTTGAGAGAGGTTAGAATGTGTGCAGACCTTCAAGTGGCTCGAAGATCCTTTTGAATAACCGCTTTGCATGTTGTGTGTGTTGCATCAATGGGTTTTCAAAATTGGTAAATGAAAATTACTGTTCAACCGTACCCTTTAGAGTAACAATGATCTAGGAAGCATGAAATCAGTTTCTGCATACTGAGACAGAAGTGTCAAGGAGAAAAATCAGAAAACGTCCATGGTATGTTTCCCTTTATGTAAAATATATGTAAGAAAGAATTAAAAAAAATCTGGGGTTAATAAAATACTAGGAAGATATTCGGAAGAATCTCAATCGTATAGAGATATTTCTGCCATTTCAATCATAAACAGGAGAACATTATCAAAATCTACGGAATTTTACTCAAAAATTATTGAATAGCAACCTGATAAGAACCACCGACAAATAATGATGAATATAGACTTGAATAAAATGTATTTGTACTTTATTTTTGACGAATAAAGTTGGTGAAAAATTAGAAATTATGGCATAATAATAGTTCTTTCTAATAAACATTTTCTCGTTGGGTGTCCGTAAGCTTAGACATAAATCACTTTTTTTGTCCACTTCACATAAGCCAATATTCACGATTTTGGTGTGAAAATATGTCATCTATAAGTCATCTATACAATAAATGCGAATGTCACTGCGTCACACTTTTTCACTTAATGCACACAACGCTATAACTTTCAATAGCTCATCTTCTTCTATATAATAAATGCGAATGTCAGTGTGTCGCCGTGTCACAATTTTTCAACTTTATTCCTAGAGGCTGTAGCCCAACATATCATATCATTTTGGAATCAAACTGACTCCGTGAAGAAATTAAAACATTCTAGACCGGATCCGAACCATCAATCCTGAAAGTTTGAATTCCTAAATTTCCATCACTACGATTGTTTTCGGTGAATTTTTACGTGATTTTTGGCGACGAATTTTTTTTACGATAATTTTTATAACTTGGAAATAAATTTGGGAATAATGTAAATTAATTGTGAAATCTTGAGAAAGTCATCCATGAAATAAAAATAATTGTTTGTACGCAAAAGTAAGAACCTACGTAAATCAAATTGTCTTTAAATTAAATAGCAGAAGAAAGAATTATCATGGAACTTTTAAAGGGTAAGCTTAAATATTAGTTCAATAATTAAATGCAGCGATTATTTTTGAGTTCTATAGTTTATTGTTACCTTTCACAGCTACTCCTCCCTACCTATTGTGGCGAAGGCCTAGTCAAGAGCCCTCCGCAGGAGCAAAATTAAATGTCGCCCGAAAAGTCATAAAAAAATTCATAAAAATTTCTATAAACCTAAAGAAAATCTTGGAAAAATCGGGAGATTTGATTTTTTTTTGCAGTGGTTAAT